ACTCGAAATAATAGTTCAAAAAAAAAAAAAATGAACAATCAAATGATTGCAACAAATGAAACCTCGACACAGACTAGTCGAGGCAACACTGAGAGATAACAAAATTTCATGCGACAAATATTAACATTTAGGTGGAACTTCCTTTCATATTTTTTGAATAATAATGTATCGATTAAAAAATATCATGCTTTTAATTATATCGTTATAGGAATCAATTATATATAAGAATGAATGTTTGTTAAAAAACAAAGTAGCATTATAAGAGCATCTCGAATGTGTCTTTTGACATTATAAAAAGTCATCAATATCATCAACTTTTGAGACTGTGTTACTAATTATTTCTCCAATGAATTTATCATAAAATCTTTCATTATGAGGTGATAACATTTAACGTTGACAATGTTGAGTCCACTTTCTAATATTTAATATCATGCTAAAAATAATGACTCATCAGTTCACTTTATGTTTGTTTTAACTAGTACGAATCCCGTGTGATGCACAAATTATATTCATTAATATTTGTAATTAAAAAATATTTATAAATAAAAAATAGAATCAATATGTAATGCAATTTACCTATATATGTTATATGAAATTTAAATTGTGCAAAATTATATAAATCGTGTCTATTTAAAATTGGTACACAACTCGTATGGTGCACACTAATGACAATAATTACATTATATTCATTTCAAAATAAAAATTATTTTTTAAAATTTTTATTCAAAATTTTGATTTGAATATAATGTGGTTTTATAAAATTTTAATGTGGTAAAATTTTATCATATATTTATGAATCTATGTGAATAATAAGTATAATATTAAAATTTATATTGTTTCATTAATTAAAATAAATTTATTTTTGTATAAACTATACAAATAAAAAATTTAAAGGAGTTGAGTAATTTAGTAGACTATAAATAATTGACTATTTACGTCCAAGTTAATATTGTCCCGTAAGTTAATTAGTTATTTGTATTTTAAATCCCCAAACTTGGACTACTACACAATAAATTCTCTTATATATTATGTATGTATCTGTATTGTACTAATCTCAAAATTTTTAGACTTGTTTTTGGTTACCTTGTTCAAATTTATCAACTAATTATCTATAAGTAGTTTACAAATTTAAAATGTTATTAAAAATATTTATTCAAATATGTTTCTAATTTTGAATAGTAATACATACTAATTTGTCAAATTATCAATATCTTATGGCAATTTATTACGGGAATATGCTACAATTTGAGAATCATATCACTTTGATTTTGTAACGAATCAACCTAAAATTCGACTTTCATACTCATACTAAATAAAATCCATACCACTTATTTTGTTTTAATATTCCAAATACACTTTTATCCATATCAAATAAAATTCATGCCATTTAAATTCGTACATTTCATACTATAATAAAATTGCCCTCTATTTGTTCATCATAATACTCAACTATTATGTTATTTTAAAATTTATTGCCATAAAATATGTATTAAGATACAAAAATTAGGCCTTAAATTGATACAATTACAAAAATTTGGGTCTTGTAATAGAATTTTTCCATTAATTAGTTTCCCAGCAAATTTCCTACCAAAAAAAAAAATATCAAATAATCTAAATAAAATGCCCACTTTATAATTGATTTATTTCTCATATAAATGACTATCAAATACTAAAATTAAATTCAACCACTTTATACCATATATTGATTTCATATATTGATTGATTTATTTCTCATATAACAACCATCATATACTAAAAATAAATTCGTCCACTTTAAACCATATATTAATTGATTTACACCATATATTAATAGATTTGCCGGCCCTCGCCTACCTCATCTATAGGCATTTTATTTCCAGATATAGTAAATAATATCTTTTTTGCGGGAAATAGTTACTATTTTAAAAATAATCAAACATTTTTATATAGATATAGATTTTTTTATTTTCTTGTATTAATGAATTATTTCAATTGGTCCACCTGTGCAAATAACTTCTTATCAAATTAATGCATTGGAGATACTAGTTTAATTCCGATTTCTAATCTTTAACATTACTCCTGTTACACTAAGATGTGTTTTGAATTACAACGGGAACCTATGAACTGACAGAAGTGTTCAGTTCGTACAAAAAGAACTAAAGCAAAATAAAAATTACAACTGGAATGCGGACAGATTGAAAGCCGAGGCGATTGAAATCTTTCCGCAAGACAAATACACCTCGTATAGTGCTGACGGGTCTGTCCGTAATGTCCCCAAAGGTACAACGACTATAACACTCGGAAGATGTAGCACACCAATCTTCAGAGTTCCCGCGAACAAGAATGTAGCTGAGAACATAACACTTTGATATGATGCGTGAGGCTTTCAGAGTGTTGAGAATGCATGAAATGTTGTATGTTTTTCTCTGCAGCTCTAAGTCCTATTTATAGGACTTCCACCTCTTGAGGGAAAGCAAACAATCACCTCTGCCACTTAATGCAGAGATAATGGGGCAAAACGT